GTTACCGCCACTAAACTCCATACCACAACCATCTGTAGGCAAGTGTGTGGTTAACTTACCACAGTTATCCTCATCAGAGTCGTCGGTACAGTCCTGCACTCCATCACACTCTGGGTTCATTTTACTGATGCAGAGTTTGTTTTTGCATTGGAAGGTGAACTCTGAGCATGTCTGCAGCACCAAAGCTGAAAGACGAGAGACACGTGCAGTATCAGTGAGCAACTCTGACCCACAGGTATCCTTTACCTCAAAATGCTGTTTGATTAAAGATTTTCATCAAAACCATACATTTTCAGAAGTTCTTATTTGAACTTTACTTCTTACATTTTTCACATTTGGACTCATCAGACGCATCACCGCAGTCATCTTTTCCATTGCACTTCAAATTCTCTGCAATACAGCGGCCATTTTTGCAGGAAAACTGCCCTTTGCATGTTTCTGTAAAACAAGAGAAAAATCACTTATTTACTACCCTCTACTCGAGTGTTTAATTTGACCTGTTGCTATTTTAATTCCAGAGCTCTTTTAAAGGAGTCAGTTTCAACACAAACAAACACAGGCTAGTCTTCCACCTTTCTTCCACATACACTGCCTCTGCATGTCAACAGATTCTTATGGAAATGTGATTGCACAACCCTCTGGTCTGATTTGCCTGCTGGGCTTCCTACATTCCTCAACAAAACTGGCTTTACCGGCAGAACAACCTCTTGCATTATCTGCCACCTTGCATTTATAGTCCAGTTTTTATTACAGTACTGTTTATGCACATATTACTTGAAAATGTTTGGAGAAAAGTGATAAAATTTGCCTGTTGCTTTGGCGAAGTTTCAACTAATTCTTTGTATCAGTACTTATTGAAAAAAGGAAATCTATTTGGCTTTTATTATTTCCCTCAACTTGAATGTCTTTATACATTTTATTAATGCAGACCCTCAGTTTATTCTCCTTTTTTTAATCTCCTCAGGTTTCTTCTGATTGGCTGCCCCTCCCAAATATAAAGGATTTGATTGGCAGGCAGGTGGGGCTAGTGCAAATGCAGTCAGACCTACTTGTCTAACAAGAGCATATTTGGGATATCCTCTGTCACTGACAACACTGCCTGAGTTTTTAGTGCAATAAACTTTAAGCGATGTTTAAAATAAACATCAACTGCTGAAATAGCTCCAGTTTATTGTTCCGCTGCACTCACCACAGTTTTCTTCGTCCGTGTTGTCTCCACAGTCGTCCACCCCATCACACAGCCAAAATTTTGGTTTACAGTGACCATTTTTACACTGTATCTGAGACGCATCACACTCTAATGAGGCACACAAAGAGAACCCAACATTGTTAGGGACAGAAAAGGTGAAAGACCATTTCAATGTGCTCCTTTAATTTCATTCTTTTCAGACAGAAAGAAGTTTGACGGTTTGGACTCACTGCAGTTGATCTCATCGCTGTCATCTCCACAGTCGCCCCAGCCGTCACACCGCAGAGTGTTATTGATGCACAGGTTGTTGCTGCACGTGAACCTTCCTGGACAAGCTGATAGGACAAACATAATAGTACCTCATTTGTTCGCCGGCTTCAGAGAACGCTACAGACCTTAAATTAAGCATGTATCCTTACGATTGTTCGGGGTGAAGGCCTCGTACTCAGCAGTGAAGCCCTGATCAACGTAGGAGGAGTCCGACTTAAATGTAATGGTCATCTTGTTGCTGTTGATGGTGAACACTGGGCTCTTCAAGTCACTGCCACACAGCCTATAACAAAAAAACACAAAACAATGTAACTAGGTTACATATTTTACACACACACACACACACACACACACACACACACACACA